CATTTATTTCAACAAAGTAACTGTATTCTAAATACCACCTTTTTAAACGGTAACTGTAACGGAATACAGTTACTCATATTTTGTATTTTAAATACGTAACAGCGGTACATGTATTCCGTTACTCCCCAACACTGTCAGTGACAACAATGACAGCAGATGTGTGCTGATGATCACTGATGGATTGTGGGCGCTCTGTTATTTATTGTGTCTGTGTGTTTCAGACATCCTGGAGGTGAGGCAGAAGCCGATCCTGATGACATAGCATAGCTGGACTCAAAGCATCACTACGAAGTGCCTCCTGCATCAGGCCGCCGAGACAACAGCAGCGCCCCCGGTGTTCTGACCGAGACCCGCAACCAAACAGCCGCTTCAACCGGAGACGCAGAAACGGCGTCAGAGGGACGACGAACAAACCAGCCATCCGAGAAGTGCCTCCGACTCTTTCGGTTCCTGCGGCCATCTCCACGGAAATGGGCCCGGAGTCAGGATCACATGACCTCTGCGTGAACTGACCGGAAATGAGAGCGAAGAATGTTTTTGTCTGTAAATACCTGCTGCTTTTCTCACAGACGCCTTGACTAAAGGTCGAGCTTTTAGAGACCGCCTCCTACTTCCTGTTCAGCTCGCTGTGGACTTCTTGTTTAAACTCCACCACAGGTGAAATTCTGGGTCACAGTGATTGTGTGAGAGGAAACGGCGGGGTCAAATCCACCTGACTCATACAGGAAGTGGTCACTTCACTTCAGAATAAAACACCAACCTGTACAATTGCAGCTTCACTATCAGAATATTTTCACTTCTCTGAGTTCACAGTTTAAACCATGTGATATGTGTCACATGACACAGGCAGTTAAGGATTCTGTCGTAATTATTTTACAGGATTATAACTAAAGACAAAAATTTTAAAAATAATTCTAAGAATTATAATTTTTTCAACAAAGACATGACCCACATTTTCACAACACTTATTCAAGTTTTTCCCCTGTTTTTGTAGAGAAAACATAAAATAGTTCATATTTATTCATATTTGTTGTTGAATTTTTATTATCAGACATCAAAGATTTTACAGGAAAAGGTATTATGAAAATAATTTTTGTTCATTATGTTGAAAGTTTTCCCTTCTGAAAGAAAATGCATCTAAAGAATAATTACATTTTCAGCTTAAGATTTCTCTCAAAATGACTCAGACCTCAGTCATTCACTAAGATCAGCAAACAGTAAAACGAGTCCTCATTCAGACACTAAAACCTAAAACTCTTTATTTAAACACTACTCGCTTCATGTTGGATTTTTTGAGTAAATGTGTTCTAATGAACCAAAAATACAGAAAATAAATACAGTTCTGATGCTGAAGACCCAACTTCATCTTGTGCGTTGTTAATTTCTTTGTATATAATGAATTTTATAAGTTTAAGATGTGAAACTATAAATGTAAGTTATTATATCTGCATTTTTCACAAATTTGTACTTTTGTCTTACCTTACAGTGTGAAACACTTGGAGGCGACTTTTGTTGTGATTATATGAATAAAACTGAATTTACAGAAAATTTTCAACTAACAAAACGAGAATCTATTAAAGTCATTTTGAGAGAAATCTTGAATTATTTTAACTGGTGCAACATCATAAACACTAACGTTGAATAATCCTGATGAAGAAATTCTCTTATATTTTATTCCAACACTCCAGAGTATTCACTAAATATTTTTAACTTTTAACTGTATGTACGTATGATTGAAAGCAACCCGTCTATAGCATTTAATGGTAACTTTATGACAAGTGTTTTTAATACTAGCATTTATCGTCAGCACTGAAGGAAATTTTTTAAAAAGAACTTTAGAACTTAAGATTTTTCACACGTTTGTGCCATGAGTTTTCTTTGTGTTGCATTATCCCATTAAGCTCATTAAAAATATTCAGTTTTAAAAAATAAAACTTATTGTAAAATTGGAGTTCATGAATTGTTACACAAAATAATTTCAGTATTTAAATACTTGACTAAAATTAAAATTTTAAGTCCAAAATCTCTTGAGTTTACTCTAAAGTTCCAATTAAAACGAGTTTGAATACAGATACAGCTTTAATTATGATCATTTCAGTAGGACTTGTTGAACCATGATTCAGTATTTGACCCCGTCCTCATGTCCTCACCTTTATACGAAATCACTTTTTCTTGTGATAAAACTCTGCCGTCGACTTTTCACATCGACTCACTAAAGCGAAAAAAGGTAAAAGAAAAAAAGCAGCTTATAAAAACCAGCTTTTACTTTTTACAGATTTATTTTCAAACCTGCGGCTGAAACTGGACGAGACTTGAAAAACTGCTGAAGTTCCAGACGAAACTTTAAGGGAACAAAAGAAACTGAAGCAGCCGGCTGTTGATGTTAAAGTGACTCCCGGTTTTTGTCCCTCTGAGCTCCCGAAGCCTTAAACACACTGACTGTGTGTGTAACATCTCCTCTTTTCACTTCCTGTTTCTTTAAACTCACCTGTGAGACGTTTTAGACACACCAACCAGCCGAGGCTTCGAAGCGTCACCTGCTCCTCACCTGCATCATCAGAACACCAGAATCAGAATCACTCTATGTGACTCACAGCGACTCCTTTTTTATGTTTCCTGTGAAAACTTAATCTTTTTGGATGTTGGAAAAAGTTACAGCTGAAATGTTTTAAGAAAACTGGAAGAAATTCCTTTTAGAAACACTGTAGGGAGGGGGGGGTAAAATTGAACTGAGTCTAGGTAAGTAAAACTTTTAGTTTTAAGGGAATTTATTTAAAGAAAACTGCTTTTACCTCCTGAATGGAGAAAATTTCAGTAACCTCCTAAAATCAATTTTACTCTAAAATTTCAAAGAAAAATTAATCTGTTTTTAAAGTAAGTCGTACCTTGAGAAAAAACTCCAACTCTGATCCAAAGTTTGTGATAAAATGATGTAATGTTATCATCTTACATTATTAAAATTAGTTTTAGATATTGGAAAAAAAAATTTTTCGAGAATACATTTTAAGGTTTTAATGATTTGCATGTACGCTGTACTACAAACACCTGGTATTTTCAGGTTTGAAGGTGGAGTCAGATCAGCTGTTGATGTTATTGATCAGATGTCATCAGTATTGGTTTGCTCTCAGATGAAGCCATCGTCGCTCAAAGTGTTTTCCTCCATGTCGTATTGAACCTTTTTCTTTGTGTCAGTGTTTTTGATGTAGTTTATAGATCTCCAGCTGAATGTATCCACGCTGATTAACAAGCGCTTTAAGTGAGAGACGTTTGACGGACTGTGACGGTTTGCACTGTAAAACGCTTTTACAGCCTTTTTGGAAGCAGTTTGTTAAACTTTCTGTTGACGTGTTCATGCTTCCATCACAGCTTTTGTACACAGACACACTTAATGTGCATGTTTCTGTCTCTTCTTCTGTTTCCAGACTCTCTGTACATTCTCCTGCATTTATTTACTGAAATACACATTAGCAGAAAAACGCCTCAATGTCAAGTCGTCTGAATTCAGCCCCACAGTGTGTAGCTGGTCCAGGTCATTAAGGTGGATTTACTACAGTTACACTGAGCTGTGGTGAAGCCCTTCAGTGTAAACATGCTGTGTTAGGTCCTCCCCCTTTAAATACACCCTCTGCAAAAGCTCTGTTTTTTCTGGTTGACCAGCTTTTGGAAGCCTGCCAAGGACCAGGTGTGGCTGTAGTAATGAGGGCACCAAAAAATAACAAACAAAAAACACTTTCCTTCCAAATGTAGAAAGAAAAACTGTCTTAGAAGCCTTGGATCACAGGGATTACTGTACACACACCAACCTCAACTGGCCATGTTAACATCCACCACTGGAACTGTAGTGTGCAGAAGTCTTGAACCACTGCCTGTTTCTTTACATTTTTCTTCCTGAAGGTCTTTCAAAGTTCTTTGGACACTGGCGGCTTTTCCAGGTCTTGTACTCGACAGTGTTCACAGGAGTGTGTTTGTGTTAAAACACTTAACGCTGACCTTTCACTCACGTGTCTACACGAAAGAGATGACTCATTTGTTTAGATCACTGTTTGCCAAATGAAATGCAGTGGACGATTATCTGGTTCCACCTGATTCTTAAGTGACGGGTGTGAGTAATGGGCAGAACAACTACATTCTCTTCCACTAGAGGGCAGTACAACTACCTGCTCTAATTAAATGGGTTGCAAACTGGCAGTAAAACAGGCAACAAAGAAATTACATAGTGAGTGTGACAACGCAGGGCATAATAGCAATAGATAAATATTTTTGGAGAAAAAAAAGGTCCTGGAGAAAATTCCAACCAAGATAAGCCCATAGCATGAGTAGTGGGCACAAGAAAGCAAAAATGGTATACTGGGGACAAATCAATCCGATTCTGCTGGTGTGCAGGGAAAAATTATCAATATGCTTTTTGTGACATTTTTGTTTGGTGGTGTGCCGTGTGATTATTATTATTAATTTTTTTGTTAATGTGACAAAACAACACTTTGACATAATATTTCTGCACCAGCAAACTGAAAACAATACATGATGTGCACTGTCCTTAAAAGCTGAGTAAACTGGACAAATGGAGGACAAAAACAAACAAAAGACAAAAAAAAAAAAAAAAGCGTCAGGGAAAGTTTGACTTATGAAAATGACACAACTGGACTGAAAATCAGAGGAAAACTTCTGATGGAGAGATGGCTTGAAATCATTTTCAGTATGTACAGGTCATCAGGTGATGTTTATTAAAACTGATGAATTATGAACATACACACACATCTGATCAGCAGCAACATCACAATGATCCCAAACACACTGCCAGTGCAGTAAAAACACACCTGATAGTTCTGTTTCTATCAGTCAAGGACCTCAGCGTTACTGAAGCAAAACAGAATAAAACAGAATTATCCAAAGAAGAGCTGTGAAGCCTGGAGATCATATCCTGCAGACGCAGAGATGACAAAGTTTAGACTGAAGAATAAAGGTACTCGCATCAAAACTCATTAAAATAGTTCGAAACTGTTTTTGCCTTATATTCTGTATTTTACATTTTTGTTTCTACACTTTAATAAATCACTGCACTAAAATGAAGTGAGTGCAAGAGTTTTCTAAAACTTTAAGAATAAGCATGAAATTGTTACCTCACGTTCACGTGTTAAAGGCAGAGTTTGGGTTGCTTGTCGGGCGAGAAGATGCTTCATGCAGTTTTACCTCCTGATGTTGGCAGCGGTTCTGGCTTAAAGACTGACACGGCGCTCAGCTTGATTTCTCCCGGGACAATTAAACTGGAATTATTCTCAGCACTCAGCCCATCAGGAGGGCGGCGCTAGATGTTTGTGGAGGTGAAGCAGAAATAAAGACAACAGAGGAGCTGCTTGTTTCGTTTCCTTTTATTCTCCAATAAATGTCTTTACAAATGTTCTCAGATGATGACGGCATCTGGAAGGCCGAGCTGAAGGCCACACAAAGGACACTTGGAAAACGACAGTCTGTGTTTACAGAGAATAAACGCCGCGCTCTTAGGGGGAACATTCACTCCAAGTAGAAACTCTGCCGACACAATAAATAGTTTCCAGAGCAATAACACAAAAACACTCAGCAGACACACTCTAAAAGGAAATGTTACTGCAGGTATTTAATTTGTAAAACCAAATCGACTGGCCCGTTACTTAGAGCGCTCCCCAAAAACTGCTCAGGAAGTCACTCGTTCAGTCACTCGACAGATTCAAACCGTAAAACTGAAGCACAATGAGTCTAACAGCAGCGGCGGCGATGAACCGGAGGGAATGTAGGCGACGACCTGCTTCGATTGTTACGATTCAAAGAAATGATTCACAGTTTGACAACCAATTCGTTGTGATCAGACGAGGAAACGACGGGGGTGTGTGCATGTGTGTGTGGATAAACCGGCGCGATGAAGAGGTCAGTGATTCCACGTGGGAGGGGGCGGAGTCTGAGGATGACCACTGCTAAAACCACTGCGGAGTCTGCTAAAACCCTGGGGGAGGTGGGGCGGGGTCAGCTCAGGCTTTCTTCTCTTCAAGGATCTTGTGGAGCTCGTTGGCGTCCTCGGAGGTTTTGACCCGAATCAGCAGGGGGACGGGGGTGGTGGGGTTCTTGTCGTCAACGGGCGGATTTGGCACGCACACCACCATCACGTTATTCTTCCCCACCCGAGTGCATGGCATGGATGACTGCACGATGATGTTCAGCAGGATGTTTCCTGGAGGAGGAGAGAATGTTATACAAGCAGAAGACCCGGCTTTAAAATTAATATTTATATTTGGTGACTTGAAGATTTCTAATTTAATCATTTCATATTTATTATTACCATTTATTTCAAATTACATCTAAAGTTAAATCTCCTGTAAGAAAATAACGCGTTTGCTAATCAGGGCTTTAAACGCGATGTCCGACATCAGCACGACTGGTCCGGTGTTCTGTTTGTCTGCATCCTGTCTGCTGATTCATGACCATTCACAACGACTTCCTGGATTTTTCAGCCCATAAGGCGCATTAAGCGAAACAAAACAGTCAGATAAGTCAAACTTTTACTCAACTCATTCTTGCTTCCTCCACTTCTGTACCATTGATACATTAATGCTGAATTCTCTCACAGCTGCTCTATTCCCATGTCGTTGAAGTATATTAATGACTAACCTCGTATTGTGGATGGATTATCTCAGTTGTTCTCTTTTTATAGAGTAGAAAAAAGTTAGCGTTCATCCTCTAACTTCA